GGGTGCGTCTGCACCCGGGAGGCTGCTGCCCACCTGGCTAGCCCCAAAGTCACAGCCTGTGGCCTCCAGGGAGCACCTGTCTTCTCTCTGGCCAGGAACTCCCACTGGACTCAGCCTGAGCCCAGACCCCAAGGTTGTGACTGGGTCGTGGGGTGAGGCTCATCTGCTCCGTCTCTCACCTCATCTGCTCCGTCTCTCACCTCATCTGCTCCGTCTCTCACCTCATCAGCGTATTAAGCAGAGCCCAAGGGAAGAGGTCACAAGGAGAAGGGAGAAGTGGGAAGAGGGAGGGAAGGAAGAAAATCTGCCCAGCCAGAGCCTTCTGGGCATGAGCACGGATGCAAGTCAGTACAGAAAGAGGAGGCCCAGGGTGGGCTGGTCCTGCCACTATCCTGGGTCTGGGTCAACCTCCTGCATCCATGCTTATCTGGCTACCAGGAAGCACCTGGCCCATCCCCCGTCCCCTTCACGCCGGAAACCCAGGTCCCTGGGGCTGGGAGCAACTCACGGAGCGTGTGAATGTGTGTGTGGGCTCTTCTAGGGAGGCTCCCAGAGAGCCTCACAGTTCTTCCCTCCTTTCCTTGGAGCCCCAGGACGCGGGTCACTCGTTTCCCAGCCCACCCCCCGTCAGGCTCAGGTTCTGTCCGGGCTCCACTTGGGCTCCCACTCTGCTCCTTGCTGCTCTTAAACAAGGCAGCGCCCACCAGGGCCCAGGCCCTGCCAGGGGCTCAGCTCCGAGCCTTTGCAACGGCTGCGCCCCCCACCTGAAGTCCCTCTCTACTTTTCTTCCAGGCGGGAGAATAACACTAATGATAAGAAGAGCTGAAGCTTATTGGGCGCTTACTATGTGCTAGGCACTCCACATGGATTATTATTCGACCCTCATTTTCTAGATGAGCCAAAGGAGGAACGTTATTCACCCGCTCCAGGCCACACAGATAGGAAATGGCAGACCCGGGACTGGAGCTGGGCAGTCTGATTCTAGAGCCTGTGCGCGCGCAAGTGGCTGAGCACGTGGAGGTGGCTCTGGAGGCCCCTGCCTCGGGGGCTCGTGTCCAGCTGGGGAGACAGACATCCGGGGAGATGGGCTGAGCATGGCGAGCGCTGGGAAAGGGGCAGGGGTGGGGCTGTGGATTGGTCTCTCCGATTTGGTGTCTCATTTGAAGTGGGCAGGGCAGCGCTTAGAGAGAAGACCCTGCAGAGAGAGCTGCCTCCAGCCCCAGCTCTGCCCTTGACCATCTCCATGGTGGCTGTTGAGGGGTGGCCTCCGCCCCAGTCAAAAGCTGGTCCATCCTGCAGGTCCTGGATCCACCGAATGCGACTCCTTGCTCACACTTCATATCCAGGTCATCGGCAATCCAGCAGAATCTAACTGCTTCCTGCAGCCCCGCCTCTTCACGCGGAGGAGGACACAGTGCAGTGTCCTCCTCGCCACTCTCCCTGCTCTGCCCTCGAGGCAACAGTCTGCTGTCAGCCAAGCAGCCCAAGTGAGCCCGTTCAGGCTGGAGGCTCCGCTCAGAATCCTCCCGTGAAAGCCGCACTTCCGGCCGCGGCCCCGGGCCCCGTGTGATCTGGCCTGTCCACCTCCCTCCGCTCTGCCCTCCGTGTGGTTCCTCGCTCGTGGGCGGCAGACGCTCTCCTGGGCGCTGGCTGTTCTGTTGCCCGGAGCCCGCTGCCCCTGCACCCTCGTCCTCTGGCCTCACTCTTCTCAGTGAGGCCCTCCCTGGCCACCTGATTACCACTGAACCTGCCCCCTCTTATCCTTTACCCTGTTTCATTTTTCTCCAGAGCACGACTCTTTGTAACATACCATATGATTTGCAGCGGTCCCTTGCCCTGCGCACGCCCGTGCCCGCTCCACGGGGCAGGGGTTCTTGTCACCCGCGTCCCCTGTGCTCCCAGGGCCAGCACAGTGCCTGGCACCCAGTGGGCTCTCGGTAAGTAGTCGCTGAGTGAATGGAGGAGACAGGTTGGGTGACACCCCGCGGGGGGTCGTGTGGGTCAAATGCAATGGTGGCTGTTCCATCCACTGGGTTGCGTTCCCTGGTCACTGGTGGACTGTCCGTGGGACCCTTATCACCCCACTGGGGTTGATCTTGGCAGATGGAAGGGACCCAGGACAACTTTACCACTGGATGAAATCCCATTATTGACCCCACAGAATCGAGTCTGACCCTTACTAATCGTGTGTCACTGAACAAGTTATACCATCTCTCTGGCCACAGTCTCCTCGTCTGTATAATGGAGAGGACAAGGGTACCTGCTGTGTGTTGGGGGGATCCAGTGAGGACATGCGTGTAATGTGCTCAGGACAGTAGCCGGCCTGTAAGGGTCAGCGATCATCAGCTTTATCGTTACACCTGATGGTTCTGGATGAAGCTTTATAACAGGTAGAAATGCTGGAGCTGGGGCCAAATTTGGTTCCATGGCTTTAGCCCACAGCCAGGCCAGCTGCTCCAGGGAGGGCTATGGTCTCAGCTGTCAGGAGGGAGAGGCTGGCTCAGGAACAGAACTTACGTTCAGGTCCTGTTCAGTCACCTTCTTAAGGTTCTTTGGGGAAAGTCTCATCATCTTTCTGAGTCTCAATTTCCCCACCTGTAAAAATGGGGTGTTCACAGTCCTCAGTCTCCCAGGGGTGGTGAGACTTACATGAGACCCCGGGTGCCAATGCTTATTTTTTTATTTGGTTTCTTATTAATATGCCATTCAGTCTAAAAAATGTATCTGAAGCACTTATCAAAATACTTGAAGATAAGATAAAAAGGGATCGGGCCAAGAAGATTAAGTTTAAAAAACACAGGCAGCTGTGTGTGAAGGTGTCCTGGAAAACTTGGCCTGTGATGCACTGACTTGCTCTGGGCCAACCACCGTGTGTCTGTGAGCCTCCTAGCAGCCCGAGTGATGAGGGAGACACACTCGGTTCCATGATTCTTGGCAGCAAGCCAGGCTGGGGCCTTATCAAACGGCCTCACCCTGAAGACCACAGTGATTAAGAGGGGGATCCCAGGCACTGGTGAGTCTGTCCTCTGAAGCGCACAGCTGGCCAGGTGTAACTAGATCCTGAAAGCCAACCTGACCAGGGAGCCAAGGGGCAGCTGGGTCAGTGTGACCTCAGCAGGGCCGTAGGGGCCCCTTTGCTCTAAGCAGGGTGTTCACTTGCCTCCCTGAGCTTCACTGACCTTCCTAGGGCCTTTGTTCACTGCTGCCAGGGAATTTAGTCTGAGCGGCAGCCCCGGCCTTGCCCTTCACAGCTCACGGCCAGTTCAGTCCAGCAAGGGCTGGGATTGGGGCGCCCCACAGAGACACACCCCAAGTGGGGAAAAACAATCCGCCAGAAGAATCAGGGCTGCCTTGCCAGGTCCTAAAAGCCCTCGGGTGGGTCACTCTGGAGGCTTCTGCAGTGTCGCCTTGTACCTAGTCCCTACCCCAGCAAGACCTCCTATCCGCCTGCCTCTGTTGGGCCTCAGCCCTTTGCCCCTCCACTTGCCCTGCTGGCCTGGCATGCCTGGTCTCGCTTTGCCAGAGCAGGGCTGGAACCCATGGTGCGGACAGGAACCTGGAAGACACACTTCAAAACATTGCCAAGGAGCAGCCCTCCCTCCTGCCTCCCAGTGGAGACCTGTCCCCCGCCTCTGCCCTGGAGCAGCTGACATTTAGCAGAGGTCAGGCCCTCACCCCCGATTGTCCTGCCTCCTATAGTCAGCTGTGCCGGCCCCCCGATGGCAGGCTCCAGGGTGTCAGCATTTAAACTGGAGGAGGGGGGACATCTGGGTCCTGAGTACTGCCCTGGCCAGCGGGACCGGCGACTCGACTGCTTCTCACTAGCGTACTCAGGACTCCTCACCAAGGTGAGGCCGGGGAAGGCGGGCCTCCTCCACAGAATGAAAGGGTTGGTAGAGATGGTCCTTAAAGTTTTGTTCTGGGTCCAACATTTCATGATTTTGCGCCTTATGACCATGTAGCTTAGAGAAAATTTATGTTGGAGTCTTCCAGCCTCGAGCTTTGAAAGAAGCGAAAGTTTATTGAGCACCTGCTGCACAGCAGGAACTCTGTGCCCATTTCACAGATGTAGAAACTGAGGTTCAGAATGGTGAGAAGCCTTGCTTAGGTTAGGATATGGAGGGGAGGGTATGGCAGGAAGGCACCCAGATGACCCAGAGGAAGAACCAGAGACATTAAGGGGAAGCCACAGAAAGGAACATTTTGAGGGAAACGACAGCATCCCCTACACAGGGATCTATGGAAGGGGACGTGAAAACACCAGGTGCCAAAGGCTGGTTTCTGTTCCAGCCCCTCCTGTGACTCTGTAGGTCATCCCAACCAAGTATGATAATAATTATAAAAAACTGAGAACAGAAAAAGTGCATGTAAGACCGGTGATACACCTCAAACACATGAACTGTTTATGGCTGGATATCAATCTACTGCCTGGCATGGGGTAATGAAGGGGAACTTTTATTTAATTTTGTTCTTTAAATATGTTAGAATTAGAAGTGTTCCCTTGAGACCTGGGAATTTTTTCAGTGAAAAAGGTTTGTAAATATAGCCACAGAAAAGATAGATAAAGAGACAGAGAGATGGACAGATAGAACGAGAAAGCACCGTGGGTGGTGCAGGGAAGGGACCCCACCTCCGCAGCCTGTGACCCACTCTCCCCTCCCCTGGGGCCTGGAAGCCCCCTGGGGCAGGTTCTGCACTGCAGGGTTGCGCTTTTCCCAGGATGCATTTTGTTCCTGGAGCAAAGCCTAGCAATGCAGTTGGTACAGTCAGGGTGGGGTGGGCAGGTTGCCAGGGGTATGTGTGGTGACCTGGTGGTCTTGGAGGGGACAGGTTGTGGGAGTGGAGGGGTCCTGAGCCTGGTGGGGTTTCCTTGATGCTGAGGCTTCCAGGGGTCCTTGGTGCCGTGAGTTGGACTCACAGGCTTGACTTCTAGAGGAGTCGCCTGGAGGTGACTTCCTGCAGGGTCACCAGGCGCTGGTCAGGACATGCACAAACACGGTGGCAACAGAGCCCTGCCTGTTCCCTCCCTTGGGAGAAGAGCCTCAGGCTCCCCTTGCCCGGGTCTGCAGACCCCTGACCCATCTGCTGTCTCCCTGTTTCCTGCAGGATGAAGATGAGACGCTACAAGCTCTTTCTCATGTTCTGTATGGCCGGCCTGTGCCTCATCTCCTTCCTGCACTTCTTTAAGACCCTGTCCTATGTCACCTTCCCCCGAGAACTGGCCTCCCTCAGCCCTAACCTGGTGTCCAGCTTCTTCTGGAACAATGCCCCGGTCACGCCCCAGGCCAGCCCCGAGCCGGGCAGCCCCGACCTGCTGCGTACCCCGCTCTATTCCCACTCGCCCCTGCTCCAGCCGCTGTCGCCAAGCAAGGCCACGGAGGAAATCCACCGGATGGACTTCGTGCTGCCCGAGGACACCACCGAGTACTTCCTCCGCACCAAAGCGGGGGGCGTCTGCTTCAAGCCAGGTACCAAGACGCTGGAGAAGCCGCCATCAGGGCGGCCAGAGGAGAAGGCAGAGGCGGGTGAAGGCGCGTCGGCGCGGGGCCCGGGCCGGCAGCTGCTGAGCACCCGGGAGCGGCCGGGGGGGCGCGGCGCGCGGCGCAAGTGGGTGGAGTGGGTGTGCCTCCCGGGCTGGCACGGGCCAAGCTGCGGCGTGCCCACCGTGGTGCAGTACTCCAACCTGCCCACCAAGGAGCGCCTGGTGCCCCGGGAGGTGCCGCGGAGGGTCATCAACGCCATCAACATCAACCATGAGTTCGACCTGCTGGACGTGCGTTTCCACGAGCTGGGCGACGTGGTGGACGCCTTCGTGGTGTGCGAGTCCAACTTCACGGCCTACGGGGAGCCGCGGCCGCTCAAGTTCCGTGAGATGCTGACCAACGGCACCTTCGAGTACATCCGGCACAAGGTGCTCTACGTCTTCCTGGACCACTTCCCGCTGGGCGGGCGGCAGGACGGCTGGATCGCCGACGACTACCTGCGCACCTTCCTGACGCAGGATGGCGTGTCGCGGCTGCGCAACCTGCGGCCTGATGACGTCTTCATCATCGACGACGCCGACGAGATCCCCGCTCGCGACGGCGTGCTCTTCCTCAAGCTCTACGACGGCTGGACGGAGCCCTTCGCCTTCCACATGCGCAAGTCACTGTATGGCTTCTTCTGGAAGCAGCCGGGCACCCTAGAGGTGGTGTCGGGCTGCACGGTGGACATGCTGCAGACGGTGTACGGGCTGGACGGCATCCGCCTGCGCCGCCGCCAGTACTACACCATGCCCAACTTCCGCCAGTACGAGAACCGCACAGGCCACATCCTGGTGCAGTGGTCGCTGGGCAGCCCCCTGCACTTCGCCGGCTGGCACTGTTCCTGGTGCTTCACGCCCGAGGGCATCTACTTCAAGCTGGTGTCCGCCCAGAACGGCGACTTCCCCCGCTGGGGTGACTACGAGGACAAGCGGGACCTCAATTACATCCGGAGCTTGATCCGCACAGGGGGCTGGTTCGACGGCACGAAGCAGGAGTACCCGCCGGCCGACCCCAGCGAACACATGTATGCCCCTAAGTACCTGCTGAAGAACTACCACCAGTTCCGCTACCTGCTGGACAACCCCTATCAGGAGCCCAAGAGCACAGCAGACGGTGGGCGGCGGAGCAAGCGTCCGGAGGGAAGGCCGCCCGCCAGGAGCAAATTGGACGTGGTTGAAGGCTAAGGCTGCATGATCTTATAGGGCCGGTGGCCAGGGTAGGGGGGTGGGCGGCTGCCCCCCCCCTTACCTTCCTGTCTCCTTCCGCCGTCTGGGTGGCTCTTAAGAAAACCAGGAGTGGATAGGTGGGGGTGTCTTTCCTACTCAAGCCCTTGTGAATCCAGGGTCAGGCCTGTGAGCTCAGAAAACACCCTTCCTCGTCAGGAGAGAGCAGGCCCTTTCACCCCTCCAGGAGTGCTGCAGCCAGGGGGTGCCAACGGAGAGTGCACGAGAGTGCACGGTGGCTACTGGGGAGCAGGGGAGGGTAGGGAAGGGAGCCTGCAGGAACTCCCTAGGGCAGCCAAGTGGGAGCTACGGTCCCCTCCGGGGAGAAGCCCACCATTCGGCCTCCTGGGGCTTTGGACCTGCAGTGGGAAAGGGGGATGCCGGGGGATCCCAGGGCTCTGTAAATAGATGCATTTGGGCCCAGGAGGAAGAAGGGACGCCAAGGTCGGAGGGGATGAAAAGTGGCAGCTGGAAGGAAGCCCCGATGGATGCTTTGTAGTGTCCTCAGGAGTGCTGGGCCAGAGGGAGCAGGGACCTCCACCCCCCTGCCCCACAGGACACACTGCACGGATGGCCCTGTGCCCCCAGCCCCTCCGGACCTGACACAGGTGTGGGGCCTGGGGAAGCCTGGGAAGTCTTCCTTTTGGTTCCAAACCTGGCCTTGACATTCCTTCTTACTTTTGATATCGCTGTCTTGTGGGCTGCCCACCCAGTCCTTGCAAGACCAGGAGTCCAGTTCTCAGGGTGGGATGGGACTGTCAGCCAGCCTAGTAAGTCAGCCCTGGGGGAGGAGCCTCCTCCTCCCCCCATCACCCCTTCCCACTGGAACCCACAGCCCCAGCTCTCCACCATCTCAGGTGGAGTCACCCATGTGTCCCTCCTTGGGGCTGGCTAGGGGCCAGGAAGGGGCCATGAGGTTGCCCTGGGCCCAAGAGGGACATTAAGGCCAGCTGTATGTCATCTCATTCCTTAGTTGCCTCGTGGGGGAGGGGGATGTATTGTTAGAGTAGATTCTAAGCTGCTGTAATTAAGAGACCCCCAAATACAGTGGTTTAAGCAGACAGAAGCTTGTTTCTAACTTCACTTTCCAGAGGGAGGTTTTCTGGATCTGGTAGGGCAGCTCTGCTTTCCTTCATCACACTTTCCAATTCTGGGTAGAGTGGTTGCTCGAGCTCCCACCATCACATGTGCATCCATGTCTGAGGGAAGCAGAAAAAGGCATGGAAGTGCACACCCTTCCTGTTAAGAGCATGAGCCAGCGATGGCACAGTCACTTCCGATGGCATCTCACTGGCCAAGACTTAGTCACATGGCCACAAGTAGCTGCAAGGGAAGCGGGAAAAGTCATTTTCAGCTGGGCTGCACTGTTCATTTATTAAAGGACGGAGGAGGGGATGGATATGGGTACAGGAGCATCTCTGGCACAAGGGGAGGAGGGGAGAGGGTAGAAATGACTGTTGCAGTTGTAGATCCTGCTCGCATGTTCAGAGCTCCTGAAACCTGCCCCTGCCCCCGCCCCCCTCACTGCCAGCCCAGGGCCGGGGTGCAGTGAGAGCCTGCCGCTGTGGGCCGGGAGAGACGCCCCCTCCCCGAGGCCCCCTCAGATGTTTACCCAGTGATGCCGGGTCACAGAGCCTGCCTGTGGAACTGTACGTGTTTGTGCATGTGTGTGTGTGTGTGTGTGTGTGTGTGTGTGTGGTGTGTGTGTGTGTGTGTGTATTTATGGGCATGGGTGCATGCTTGCTGTATACTTGTACGTGACTTTGTCGGTGCGTCCCTGTACATATATGCTTGTGTGTGGATGTGGAAGCAGGGCCCAGGCCACCCTTCCCGAGACCTGGAGCCTGGGGCCACACCTCCTGCAACTTCCCAAAATGACTGAGGCAGAAAGCAAGCTGGGGAGCCCGGAAAGCCAGGCGAAAGGGGATGTTGGGTCCGTCTGTCTGTCTGTCTGTCTTTCAGTCCAAGGAATGAGAATCCTCCTGACCAGAGTGCTGTAGGGCTGAGAGCCCACCACAACCCCCTGGCCCCTTCCGTCCACCCCAGCCCCTCCAGCCTCCAGCCGGGACTTTCTTGGAGTGTCTTATTGGGGGTTTCCTGATGGGCCGGGAGAGGAGGGTGTCTCCTTTGCCACAGCTCTGCCTGGGGAGGCGCCCAGCGTGGGTGTGGCTCGGGGAGCTGGCCGCGGAGCAGCCTCGGGCGGGCGGGTGTGAAGCAGGTATGGGAGTCTCTGTTGTCCCCACTGTCCCTCCCGTCGAGGGGGTGTCCCGAGGGAACCCTTCCCTTGGAGGTACAGCAGCCCCCTTCTCTCTGGCCCCTCTTGCAGCTAAGGGGCTCAAGAGGTCAGGGTGTCCCTGTGGCTCTGGGTCACCCAGGCCAGGGTGACCTGGCCTCACCTCCAGCCACCTCTGCTCCCCGCCGGGCGGGCAGTCCCTGGGGGCTTCTGACTCATGCCTGAGCCCCAGCCCAGGGCCCCCCTCCTTGACAGCTTCCTCGCCCTATGCCCCTGGCATCCTCTGCTGCTGAAGGGATGCCCCCCTCCAGGCTGTCAGGGGTCCCTGGCCTCCAGTTCACCAGCTCAGGGGCAGGGGAAGGCAGAGGCGAGGAGCTCAGACCTGCCAGGCCCCACCTTCCCTCTCAGACCCAGGAGGGCCGGGCGCATTCACGGTCACCGCCAAGTGGAGGCCTGGCCATGGAGCGGAGCGCACGGCTTCCAGCGGGCTGTGGGGGCCAAGGCGTGAGGTTGAAGAGTTTCACTTATAGGCACGTCAGACACTGGGAATTTCGGGGGCAGGGGAGCCCTGGGCAACTCCCCCAGTATGAAGGGAAACCAAACTGTGAATGTGAGCGCCAGTGCACTGCTGGCCCTGGCGCCATTAGCCAGCTTGCTTTCTCTGGGAACCACCCGCCCTATGGCCTCCATACTCAAGGAGGCCCGGCCCACCTCGGATCATGTTGGTTCCCATGGGCAGGCGTGGAAGAGCTTTGGGGACAAAGGTGACAGGGTGGGGAGACAGGACTTGCCCAAGCAGCGGGCAGGGTCCTGGGAAATGTGTAATTTAAGGACACCAATAATAATAATAGTATTATTTTTTTTGTAAGGGAAAATCAATATGTACATTCTGAAATCATTTTCTCTGTAAATGGTTGGATTTCATTTCACCCTTAAAGGGATGCTTAAAAGAGAAGATAATATTAATAATAAAAACAGCTACAAAGTCTGCAGTGTGTGCTTGAGTGGCCAGTTTGGGGGTGCTCTGGGGCAGGGAGGGGTGCGAGTGGGTAGCTCTGGTCTTGCTGGGTCGGTGGGGTGTGAGCCTTCCTGAGGACTGGACAGCGGTGAGGGAGGGGCCGTTCTGAGCATCTTCATTTAGACATGCAGTTACCCCCTCCCCTTGCCCCGACCAAGGGAGCATCTGTCCCTCCCACCGGTGGAAACGGGCCTGGAAAGGGAGGTGCTAACAGTCCTTCACAGAAGGACCTGGCCTGGCTATACCCACCCTCCTGAGGTGGGTGGGGACCCCTTTGGGGATCTAGATGAAGACTTTTGTGCCTCTAGTCAGAGTGGAGCGATTCTCCCGCAATTGTGCTCTCAGCGGTCTTCCTCCCTACGCCTGTCAGGGGTCCTAAGGCCACACAGCCACTTGGTGGCAGACCAGGGCCAGATCTGAATTCCCAGGACTAGTCCTGTCACCAACCCTCCGGGGCAGGTAAGGGCGGCAGCCTCCAGGATGGGTCATCTCCCCTATGGAGCTAATCTGGACTTGTGCTGTGATGGTGTCTGGGCTGTGGAATGTGTGGACTTCCTGACAGCTTCCTCTAGGCTTTCTGGATCCTGGCACTGTCCTGGGGAGGGGAGTATATTCTGGGTATATTCTAAGGAGAGTGTCAGAGATGGGGGGAGCGGACACACTTTGAACTCTGCCTTGGTACCTCATGGGGTGGCTGTGAAGCAACTGTCTGTGGGGAGACTGAGACTGGGGATAGGAAGAGGAGTGACAGCAGTGTTGGCGGCTGGAGGAGGGGCTAACGCCCCCTGAGCCCCTGTAAATTGCCAAGCGCTGTACACACGTAACTCTGATGCCTGGACTCCCGGCCACACCCCCAAAGTCCAGGAAGGCGCCCGCAGGTGCAGGATTGAGCGAGAGTGAAAGAGATGTAGATGTCGCATCTATCTGGAAGAGAGCGGTGGTGACCCACTTGCCACTTAAGATAAGCTTACAGCCCTTAAATCACATCTGAGGGAATTCCCTGGCAGTCCAGTGTTTATGACTTGGCGTTCGCACTGCTGGGGCGGCGAGGCAAAAAAAAAAAAAAAAAGTCTTGGGCTTCCCTGGTGGCGCAGTGGTTGAGAGTCCGTCTGCCAATGCAGGGGACACGGGCTCGTGCCCTGGTCTGGGA